AGGGTGGTGGTGAGGTGCAGTGTCTGAACTAAATTTAAATGGCAAACCATCCAGAGTCATCCTCTGGTGAATCGACATTGCGTTTTCTTGCTGGGGATGACCATCGTAATACACAACCATACACTTGGCTTTTAAAAATAAGCCTTCAACTGCCACGTGGAAAAACTGCTTGTAAAATGTCCACAGGCGTCGTCACCTACAGCACCCTGGAAACCCAGAAAACTGAGCCTTGTAACAGTTTTATGAAAACATGTATTTTAACCTTTATCTTTTCCTAAACAAGTGCTAAAGTTTTTGTGCCTAAACTTAACTGAGCAGAACCAATGAAACAAGCAAAAGAGTAAGTAAGAGTAAATTTTCAAACTTCAAACCAGACAAACTTAAAATGGTCCAAGCCAATCCCATGGCAGTACCTCAATGTATTTAGGCATGTGTATATGGCGAAGGTGACCTGCTCAAGTTCAAACTGAACATCAAAAAGGGGAAGAAAGATGACTTAAGTGACTTTGGTTGCTGGTGCCAGACTGAGTATTTCATAAAATGCTAATCTACTGGGATCTCTAGTGTAAAGAGACAATAGCCCAAAAAAGAGAAAATAACCAGTGAGTGGCAGTTCTGTTGACGTCAATGCCAGAAGTCAAAGAAGACTGGTCACACGGCTTTAAGCTACTAACAGTAATTCAAATAACTCCTTGTTACAACAAAGATATGCAGAAGAACATCCCAGAATACTCAACCCCGAAGCAGATGGGCTACAGCAGCAGAAAATCACACTGGGTGCCACTCGTTTAAGCCAAGAACAGGAAAGACAGCCGAAGATTCAGGCAAACTCATCAAAACTAGACAGCAGAAGATTGGAAAACATTGCCTGGTCTGATGAGTTTTGATATCTGCTGTACCACCTGCAGATGGTAGGGTCAGAATCTGGCATAAACAACACAAAAGCATGAATCCATCCTACCTTCTAGCAACAGTTCAGGCTGCTGCTGGTGGTGGTGTAATATTGTAGCGGGGTATCTTCTTGGCACACTTTGGGCCGCTCATTTAATGCCACAGCCTACCTGAGGCTATGCCGATCTTCTTATGGCTGCTTCAAGCAGCATAATGCAACATGCCACAGAGCTCAAATCATCTCAAAGTGGATTCTTGAACACAACAAATAATTCACGTTACTCATATTGCCCCCACAGTCTTCAGATCTCAGTCTGATGGAGCACCTTTAGGATGCGGCAGGCCAGAAATCTGCAGCGAAAGTGTGACGCCATCGTGTCTACATGGACCAAAATCTCTGAGGAATGTTCCCAACACCTCGTTGAACCTGGTCATGAAGAATTAAAGCAGATCTGACGACAAATGGAGTCCAACTTGGTAATGTGTACCTAATAAAGTGACCGTATTTAAAAACATTGTCCTTTTTCAGACATTTCACAAGTTAAGAATGATCGTTCATTTCACTAAAAACAACCTCATAGTGTTTCTACAGGTAAGCCAAGAAATGAAAGTATTTAGCACACATCATCTGGGGATCATGAATAGGTGAATACCAAAACCCCATTAAGTAGTCGCTGAGCCCAAACAGTCATGTCACTATCATGGCTAAAAAGACAATAAAAAAGGCATTAGCATTTCACTATACAGGGGTTGTTGTATTATATTTCATAATGACAAGCTATTATATTTCTTTATTTGTAAAAAAAAAAAAAAAAATTCTAATTAAGTATGAATAATAATGCCTGGCAATCATGCAAAGGTATTACTATTTTCCACAGTCTCAATAATTGAGTCAGGCTGCAAATTAAAGCACTTTGGTGGTCTCCCGCTGCAGCACAGCAGAGCCCTGAGTTGCATCCCCTGCCCCACACTGTACTGATTAGGCCTGTCACTAACCCCCAAACAAAATAATCAAAAAGACAGAATGGAGGGCAATTCAGGTATGCAATAGTACTAAGGAGGGCTGAAAGCTTCCTCATCAGGGGAATATATGCCAGGCTCTGGTGCAGAGGGAAGATAGCACGACCCCTTGCTGTGGGAGAGTCACAGCAGGGGAAATTGGCTGGCTGTCTCCATGCCTTTACTGTCTGCACTCCATCAAAAGACAGCAGTGGGGGACCACACACTCCCAAACTAATGATAAAACATCAAGGACAGCATAATGTTGCCGCCGGGGATGGAGTGTATGGCAGAGGTGGTGCTGATGGTGGTAGGGTGTAGCATCGGGTATCAGGAAGAGATTCGGCTCTGACAGTATTTGAAAAGGGGGGTGGGCTAGATTTCTTTCCCTGTGACCGAAGGCAGTGTGATAGCTGAAATGTCAGTGTCTGGAAGAGGGAAATTGGCCATTCAGGGATGAGGGTCTTCACAAAGGCCGGGATAGGATGTGGCACATATAATATCCAGACGAACAAGAATTCTCCATGGGCAATTTCCAGGCTGAATGACTCTGGGCTCAGCATTATGAGGGCTGAAATATGAGTGTATTTTTGAGAGACCATATTTTCAGGGAGCATTTGTATCAGTGAAGAATTTGATATGAGAGAATTTAACCATAAAGTGAAACAATGTAGGAGAAATTGTTTATCTATGCCTGCTTACACCTGCCTGCCAACATGACGGCGTGGAATGTATTTTACTTGTTTCTTGTTTTCTCTGCTTACTTCTCTTAGTTAAAAGTGCCCTTTATATAAAGTTTTGCAGAGGTATTCTATAAAAACACACACAGAGAAAAAAAGCCTGTAAAAGAGGTTGCATCAATTTATCTAACGATTTCTCTTTTTTTTCTTATTGCGACGAAAAAAAATCGGCAAGCTGTTGTGTTGAAACTCATTCCACACTGTGTTGCATGTTTCATAAAATCAGTGTGATTCACAAGGACACAGTTTCCCGACAGCCTTTCATAAGAACAAGGAGACCCACGAGCCCCGTCATGTTATGTCGAAACCCTGATAAACCCTAAATTCCCAGTGCTTGTGAAGCTTTGATTTATTTTTTATTTTTTTTGTCTGTAGAGGATTTTTTGGGTCAGGAAGTCAAGTGCGGGCTTAACCATGGTGGCAAAGTGAGGGTTGTTTTCCTGCCAACGGGCAGCATGTGTGAGTTATAGCATCAGGTCACCTCTATGAGAGAAAGGCCTCTCTCTGACCAGCTCTCCCTAACAACACACACCAGAGGGCACAATTCACAGCCTGTTGAAGGCACACCCTTGTGGAGAACAGCATGACAAGCCTCTTTTTCAGCCTTTCAACTGGCCACATACAATACGAGCACTACAATGGGGCTTGATTTGACGTGAATTTACATCGGCCTCACACCTGTCCCGGCTGTCACGCAGTGAAAGGTCATTAGTCTTTTTGAAATAGGAAGAGCCCGAAGGACCAGTGCTGGTAGAGGGTGGCAACAGGCTGAAACTGATAGACAATTCAGGCCCAGCTCTATCAATAATTCTACAAGCAAATATTTATCAAGTACAAAACAGCTCATTAAAATAAAACTATTGGTTGCATGCCCTTAGTTAAATAAAATACTTTTTTTTGCGACAGGCGTGTGATGGCTTTAGCAGGAGCTCGCAAATAGCAAAACAAAGCAAAACTGGCAGATAAGAGAGGGAAAATTGCATTTTACAACAGAAAAATATGAGCCTAATACTAGCTGGCCAGATAAGAGGGGTGCACTGGTGGACAGTTGAAATTGCTGTTGTGCATTGCTGCTGGAAAGCTACGGAAAAAAATGGCACAAGGTTATCACGCAAAGAGCAATGCATGTTGCAGAGACACACATTAATTAAGCTACTGTTGCAAGCATGATTAGTCTGGGACAATAAACTCTCACGTGGACCACAACATGATTTTTTTCTGGCATTAAATCCTCCAGAAAACAGGAGTGGGAGTCGCAGATATAATTATATGCAGTTTGAGCACCTTTTACCAATCTCCTGTGTCTCATTACGGAGAGCTAAAGTCATGGAGCGTCCAACATTTGCACACCAGAGAAATGGTGTTTAATGGAAATTGGTAAAATATGTGGATAGGAAGTTACTAATTGAAGGAGTCATGGCCAAAGGCACAAACACTGACAACGCAGACACTGTAGCTTTTATTCGGGACCGGAGAACATTCGCTTCCCGTGGCTTTCAGTCATTCACATAAGTGTTATGGGTGCAGAATGAATCAAATGATACATGAATTTAACAGCAGTAGACACGCATCATGCATGAGTTCCTAAATGCCCGCAGGCGATTCAGTCGAAACTTCTGAACTATTAGAATATTATATTACTTTCAAGATCTGTGATGGGGAGTCAAAAAATGCTTATGCCACTTGTTCAAAATCGGAGAGGATTTGATCCGAGAGAGTACAATAAATCTTTGATTCCGAGGAATCTTTACACAGCAATTAGAAATTTAGCCGTGGTAGCTTGAATAAGGCTGCCTTGAGTGAGCTATTTGCTGGCATATGCTGTCCTTTTGTTTGGAAGTGATCATTATAGGCCCATTGGGAACAAGCAGATGCCATCATCTGCCTGGCAGAGCACAAACCATGGGGCGGCAGAGTTATGGGAGTTACAGGAAATCTACGTCATGGTGACAAAGTCACGCGTGTCAGCTGGTGAAATAAACACATTAGTCCTCGAGCAACCTATGGAACTGCTGAATGTCAGACATACAGTGATGAGGAATTCTGTGTATGTTCCATTAACTGCGTGCAGGGAGACATTTTTATGTGACTGAAAATATTCCAGCAATGATAAAATGGAATACCAGCGCTTTTCTGAGTGCTTTGTGCCTCAGAGATTTGGATTAGCGACATCCTGCTGTGTTTGAAGCCCAGTTTAGAAGACATTCCTAACACCCCACATGGTTATTCTTCAGAAAATTCAAACCATCAATAGCACCTATGCAGTTTCAGCAATCAGGGGGGAGTCATTTCACAACTCTGTAATGCTTCCAGGTGTAGAAATTCAGTCTCAGGTTACTCTTACAAAGCCCCAGAAAACCATCATCCCTGCTCCAACAGTAGCTGTTTATTCTTCCTTAATTCCTCTAGAGTCTGACAGCTTTTTGCATCCTCTGCACAAGACCTTGTCCCTCCATTAAAATCCTTTTCAATGCTTGCCCTACAATTGGTGAAATGGTGTTGACGTGAAGGCCATTACAAACACATTTACTTTCACAAATGCACATCTTTCAGCAACTGCCATAAACATCTGCTCATCAGCTAGACAAAAAAAAAAAAAAAAGACCTGTTACATTGCTGGTTTTTGACACACAGTTCATGGCTGTCAACATGACCTAAGCAAGCAGACTGAGTAATAATCAAAACAATATCACCAGCAGGAAACCTGCAATCAGCTCTTGCACAAAATCCACAAAAAGCCAATTTTGAACAACAGAGCCTTTCTCATTCGACTCTGCAGCTTTGCGCATGTTAGGCTTAAATGTGAGTGTTGATTTTGGAGGCCAAATTTAACAAACTGCATCAACCCAGCATGGTTTGGATGGTTTTAAAATCAAGCTGTCCTGTTTCTTTCTGGGTTTTTAATTCGGAGAGAGAGACGATTGGTTCACTTTAAAAACACATAGTTGATATTATTCTATATGCAGCGTGACTCCTCATACCAGTATCGGTGAAAGGAATAGAAGTGCTATGACCACAACAAAATGTTTACTGCCACACAGATTGGATATAAAGCATATACATACAAGGAATTACAGTAAAATAATGATAAACATACAGCTTTAAATTTATTTTTTATACAGCTTAAAGGGTAACTCATGGACTTAGTGCCTTTTCCTTCACTTTAACAGTTTAAGCTGTATAATTGACCATGACTGGCATCCAGACTAGATTCGGTGTTACAAAATCCAGCCAGTGAGTACACGCCCGAAACTGCAAATTTTAAGTTTCTTTCCACCCAAAGAAACATCCCCCCTGCACAGGATGAAAGAGAAAACAGCCTCCAGGTTTAAAGGGACAAGCAAACCACAATCTCATCTGAACATCAAGAATCATTTTGATTCCAGCCCCTGACATTTGTTTAAAGCAAAGACTTACAAGCAACCGGCAATAGGTTATGAGTCTCAGGTAAAAAGAAAGAAAATCTATTTGAGGTAACGCAAACATGTATTTTTGTTTATATTTCCTGAGAGCCTAAACAACAGATTCTCATTCCTGGTCTTGTGTATGGTCACTGGCAGACAATGCTGTTGGCACACAGGCAGGAACAAATTGAAACTTGGGAGTGAAATACAAAATGCTTCTCTAAACAGCAGGGAGCAAGCACTCCAAGGAGAGAAAGCTAAACCCACCAACAATGGCTGCACCTGCTGAAAATTTATTTTCCCCTTATCCACATCACCCCTGCCAGCCACCAAAAATAGGAAATTAAGGTCCAAGTAGTGTGTACTTCACTGACATCAAGTTACGAGATTTCTAAATGATGAAGTCCGTGGTGCTTTGTGCAACTTCAAACAGCTACCTCCTGCTGTTCCCCCCTCGGGGATTCAAGTGCAAGTGCCTGATGCCTTTAAACAGTTGTATGGAGAAAAAAAATGCTTTCAGAATTATATGCAATTGCATCCAAGTAAAATTTACTGGCAACGGCAAAAGTAGTCGAGTTAGTCATTAAATCCCTATGTTTAGATTTTGTTTTGTGTTCCATTTGGTTGTTTTGTTGAGGATTGTACTGTGTTTAAAAGAAAACAAGAAAAACACAAAAACTCCAATTAGTGTGAAAAGGCTGACAGGCATGTTAAGCTAAGAAGAAAATGAGGCCTCAGTGAAGAGAGGTTAACCAAGAGGAGCAAACTGTCTGTGAAATTTAAAGTCAAGTCCTGGGAGAGATGGTCCCTCAATTGCCCTTTACTGGATGGCTGGAGAACACATTGAAATTCCAACCACTTCGACGTAAGTCAACAGCACCACGGCCGATCTTGATCACAGAAAATGAAGTAATAGCCAATATAGTGCATAGTGTTACGCAGTGCTCTTAGGAATATGGTACTGTTTGTGCATGAGTGTGACGATGCATGTCTGTATAATCCTTGTCTCCACTGGTGGTAACGGAAGGTGCATATTTCTGATAACATTTCTAAATGCATCACAGTCTGATAGCATATTTCTGCACAAAGCAAGGTGGCGTCTATTTCCAGACACGGTGCAGACTTTAAAAAAGCGATAACCTTACAAGGAGATACAAAAAACTGCATTAAATTAAAAATGGAAATGAATCAATAAGTGTTTAGTAGACTAGGCGTCAACAGGCATTGACATCAAGGCTAAAAGAAGTGACCTACTCAGAAACTTTTCTTTATCTTTGCTAATTGCTCAACGATAACAACTCAGACATTCTAGGAATGCAATGCTAAATTAGTCAAGTACCTTCTTAAAAGTGTCTGTGTCCTTTATCAGTGAGCAAAACCAGACAATGAATGATAAGCAATTCCACAGAACGGAGGAAGAACTACAAAACACAAAAAACCCCACATTTGCATAGTTACATTTGGGCCACACATTCAGGGGAGGTAAGTATAATGTGATATAACATATAGCTGCTTCTGGGTTTCTACTGGGTCTGATTTATTTGCTGCTGCTTCAAAAATAATAATATACCATAACGCATCTCTCTATTTGGGTTTTTGACATCCCAGTGTAATGCCAACAGCCACTTTATCCATCCCTTTGTACTCCACATACTTCAGAGTCATCATACATTGATGATACAGCTAAAGCTAAAATCTTCAACATGAATTCAAAGCCCTGTGGATTTGTCAGCTGCCGCCACCTTTTAAACTTCCTATTTCTCTAAATAACGGCTAACGTACATCTATGCTTGAAAAGTGGCTGCTTGTATGTACACAGTGTGCCATCACTGTAACACAAAATCATAACCACCAAAGCTGCCGAAGGTCTTTAAGTCTATAAGCTTTTCATAGGAATGATGAGAATCGATGGAGGTATTTAAAATAATAGTGTAAAAAGGAATAAAGTATAACATCTACCATGTACATAGAGGATGTAGTCGACATAAGCCTCTCCTACAGCATTGGACGCCACACAGCGGTAGGTGCCATTGTAGGACTTGTTGAGGTTCTCGATGTAGAGATCAGAGCCGGTGACCACAGCATGAGGCGGCACATCCTCATCTACTCTCAGCCAGTTAATCTGATGGGGACTGGAGAGCACAAATACCACACACATCACTCAGCCTCTGTATATCCATCGTAGAAATCTGAAATAAAGGTCAAATCTGAGAATCTGAGAAGGGCCATTGGCAGGCCCTGTCTAATGATGTAGTTTATACAGCATGCTAACAACTGGTAACATTTAAATGGTACACTGAAATATAAAGGTTAAGAGGGTATTTGGACTGGCGGGGAAAATAATATACAGTGGAAAATAGAAAATGAAACAGAAGTCTCAAGCACTGAAATGCATCCATACTCACTGTGGCTTTCCTTCAGCGATACATGTCAAATCCAGATTGTCACCCTCTCTGGTTAAACCTTCAGGATATGTCACCACGATCTTTACTTCTGGTTTATCTGGAAGTTAAAGAGATTAGTATTTACAATGCTTCAGTGATGTAAGCTATAATCCAGCTGACTTTCTTTCTCATACTTGCAGCTAAAGGGTGTGTTAAATGATTATTGGACTCTAAAGCGAAGCGCAGTGAGAAACAGACTTCTAAATGACAGAAAAACAGTCAATAACGAAACATAGAAGAGTATGAAATGATTATAGATGTGCTCACTAGACATCCAGTCCGTCTGCAGTACCTTATAGTAAAATGGCTTTTTTCCCCCCCTCCTCTTATCAATGCTAGCCAAAGATTGCCAAAATGTCAAGCGGTTGCAGTCAAGCTTTCTCTTTTTCCTTGAAAGGTCAGACAAAACAGTTATCTTCTGAAAAAAAATTAATATTCTGCACAGACTACAAAAGGGTACCTTAACCTTTCTTTGATGTTTAACAGCGTAAGGCCGTGTGCATTACCTCTTCAATCAATTCACCATTTAAAGAACACCTAAACATCACTGATACCTGAGCAGAAACGTTTCCCTTATGATTGCTGTACCTCTCAGGCCAAGGCACCATTACACTCTAAGAAACACCAGCTGTACGATAAAGCAGTCAAATACATGCGACACATCTATGGCATGAAGGTCTGAGGATACTACATGTCTTTCTAAGACCGTATCAACTGCAAGTTATTTATTCCTGTGTGCGCACAGTTCATGCAGGAGTCGTGCAATATGGCAGTGTAATCTACATCGCAGCATGGCGCAAGATCTACACCTGAACACGCTCAGCTATAACGCTGGGTTCAAGAGTCTGTTACTTCTTGCCACTCTGTCTTGCAAGTTTCCAGAGATGTAAAAGGAAAGTGTTTATTATATATTACATGTTTATTTGTGGGTTTTGCATAGTTTGCACTTCCTTTGGAGAGATCTGGAAAAAGGAGGATGTACAGTCATGTGAAAAAGAATGTTTTTCACAGGACTCTATGCAAAACTAAATATACCCTATGATGCAATATGTTGTAGAACCACCTTTCGCTACAACAAGTTGAAGTAAGTTTTATCAGCCTCTCACTTTGTTGTGGAAGAATTTTGGCCAAGTTGCTTTGGTTTATTGAGGTTTGTGAGCATTTTTTTTAAGCATAGCTCTCTTAATGTCTCACCCCAGCATTTCTGTTTTATGACCCATTTTCACCAAGCTTTGACTCTACAATTATTTGGTATAAAGGACAGTGGCTGCAAAGCTCCCAAATCATCAACCCTCCACCACCATGCTTGACAGTTGCTACGAGCTGTTTGTGCTGATATGCCGAGCCTAGTTTTCGCCAAAGGCTTTGCTGTGCTCTCTTAATTGCCCCTTGGGGATAAATAAAGTCTTTCTGATTCTGATTCTGTGCTTTATGGCCAGATATCTCCACTTTGGTCTCGTCTGTCCAAACAAGATTATTCCAGAAGCCTTGCGGTTTGCTCAGATGCAACTTTGCGAATCGTATTTTTAGCGAGAAGAGGCTTTCTCTTGGCAACCCTTCCAACTGAGACATATTTGCTCAGTCTTATTTAAAAAAAGCAGTCATGAACTTTAACATCTAAAATGCTAACTGAGGCCTGTAGAGTCTGAGATGTCGCTGTTGTTTTAATGTCCACTCACTTGAAGATTATGGCACTGTGTCGAGTCAACACACACCCACATACAAAAGTGCTAATGATCAGTTAATCAAGTGCTTCATGTTAGCATCACCTGGCTGCTGTTTCCTATGAAAGCTGTAAGGGTGTACTTAGTAGTTGACATTCTTTTTACACTGCTGTTGTTCACCGTGCAGTCAACCATAACGGCCCTTCCAGGTGGCTTCTGTCTGTGTTTACTTTCAAACTCCAACACAAACATTTATGGCTAAGATTACCCACAGAACTCCAGATTATGTGTACTAGGCTCATAATCACATTGACTTATATTATCTTATTAACCCTTTCCATTCATACAGGTGCCTTTACTGAGATTAGCCTGTGTGTGTTACTAAAAATGCCCTTTGTCATCATCTTTTGAAGGCTGAAGGAATTATTATTATTATGCTTTAATTATTTTTGCTGTTTAGAACAGGTTCAAAAGATTATTGTTTCCCAGGTAGTAGTTTCTGCCCAATTTACAACTTTGACTAGGCGGACTCACTCTGGCCTGGTGATGCGGAGACTTGTGCTTGTACTTGTATTTCAGAATTTTCCCAAGTGTCTATTATCAATACAGCCCAAGGTTGTTCATTTTGTCCTCACAGTTGTAAGGATTTGAAAAATCAATACAGCCAAATTCTGTGCCCACTGCTCAACTGTGACAAAATAACCAACACTGTGGTGGATTCTAACTCTGGTAGAGGTATAAATATGCTTCTAGTAACTCTAAAAGAACCCTGTCAGTGCTCTTGCTTATCTGGCTGTGTAGGTTCTCTTATTCTTACATGTAGTATTTTTTACTTACTTTTTTTGCAATCAGAATCAAGTGTTACACCTGAAACATCTTAGGTGTGAAGTGAAATGAAGGACATCTGATATCAATGGCCCAGCCTCACTAATAAGCAGTTAACCCCTCAACTATCCCAGAAAAGAAACAGTTCCCGACACTGTCTGTGGGGCCTCGGTCTAGTTCTAGGCTTGAAAAGACTGAGTTTTGGGTCACTCACAAAGTACTTCCAAGTGTCTTTGAGCCAGGAGGTCCTTTACAGCTGGGTGGTCAATGATGCAGTCCACTGGCATTCCATCATCCTCCTTGGTGACAGAAAATCTTACCCGGCTGGTGACAGTAAACATCCTGTCATACGTCTCCTCAACTGCTGTTTCACCTGGAAAACCATCACAGGGATGACAGGAAGAGAAAGTTAATGGCGAAACAGGTCAAAAACAAATCTGAACTCCTGCAGCAGCAGCAGCAGCAGCAGTCTGCACTGGCTTTAATGAGCAAATAGTCAAAGCTATTAAGAGAGCATTACCTGTCAAAGAGGACTACTTTCAGATGGCATTTACATTTAATTTATGATTCAGTGATGTGGTGCCCAGGCGAGACTTTAGGGGATTCAAAGAGTCCGAAGGCCTTCGATTCTGACGAGAGCAGCGAGGAGCGGCTGGGTCATATCCAGCCTGATAATGAAGGCTTCTGCTGCTCGAGGGTTGAGCATTGTTGGGGCTAACCCTGCAGTAATCTGCTGCCCACTAGGCCCTAGGCTGTCAGAAGGGCATTCATTTAGAGAGCATTACAATGCCACAGGGGCATTGCATTAGCTGCAGTGCTGAGTGTGATGGTTTACTCGCACTTAATGAAGTGAGGAAATAATTACAGCCCCACACTGACCTGCAGCACACTTCCATTTCAGCCTTGTCACAGGGGAGCTGTGCCGGACTCAGTGAGGGCAAAACACTGTTGTTCCACAGTTGATGATCACCAATACACATATATGCGGCCTCTTGATGGATATTAACCCCATGTAACATATACGCACCAACCCAAGACCTGCCTACATAAAATTTAAAGTACTGGGAGCAGTAAGTGGTCAATGCACTTGTGGGCATTAAATTTGACCACACCGCCAGCTGCAATGAGGAAACAGGCAGTCGAAAAAGTGCACTGACCATTTGAAAAGGGTAAGTAAGTAATAACAGTAATAACAGCAGGAATACAGTGTCAGTGTGAAGAGGCTGCATTAAAAAAAGGGTTTCATCTAAACAACAGCGATCTTGCTAGCCTGCACAAAAATGCATAAAAGTGTTGCAGCATGTGTTTGTGCCCTGCAGTGGGTAAAGGTGAAGGTTCTTTGATTAATCATGTGTACTACTACATCTCAGCGTCCATGTGGACATGCTCACTCTATTTTAGACCACTCAACTGATCTGGTCTTAAAAGACATCTGATTAGAACCTGATATCAGAGCCAAGAGGAGGTGCAGGAGTCTCATTCCCTTGCAGACCACTTGAATTACAATATGCTGCAGGGTTTTAGTGGGTTTTTGGTCCAGTGATGCCAAAAGCATGGTGCCTACTCCAGCTTAATTATGCCATTTAACTTCACTCGAAAAAGCACCACAACAGCAGTAAATGAGTTTATCCCAAACATCTTTAGTTAAAGTTGAGTCCTGTGATCAGTGGGTACTTGTTCCTTTCCAAATAAGAGCAAAAAAAAAGTCAATTAAGAGCCGTATTGTCACCATACAATCACAAGGTCAATGAGGGCATTTCCAAGCACACCTGCCAGGAGCAGCGCCCTGCGCGCCAAAGAGTTGGGTGAAGTGGAGTGTAAACTGAAGAGATGCGGTGATTAGCCATTTTTCTCTCGGCCAGTCGCACTAATTGCCTCATAAAATCACAGTGAAGCATTTAGAGCGTGCGATAACAACAATCACGGCAGTTTACGTTATGTTTGTGTCGAATAAAATGTTGGTTTGCAATCTCTGACAGGGTGTACAATATCAATTTGAGGCATGTCAAATCGTAAATAGAAAGGTGCATACAGTATGAGAGAAGATGCTTTAAAAACATGACAACCTTGTCCTGGCCAAAGAAAAGTGTGTCTCTATGTGTGAGAGCTTGCGTGTGTGTGTTTTCAAGCTTCATTCAAAACTCACTTACAAAATTGGCTGGTGTATCCTGTGTCACACCATGTCGTATTGTGAATGGTTGGTGTGTGGCCATGGGTCGTAGCAACAGTCACACTGTGAGATTTTGTTTTATTTTGTTTTTAAATTCTGGCACTCTGGTGCCTTGGTGGAAAAAATCAACTTGGCCAGTAGCAGACACAGGCTCTCACAGATCTCACAGGCTACCAACATTTAAGACTGATGAATAACAGTCTTACCAGGTTTCATAATTGCACAGTGTAAAGAAAACTTGATGAAAATGTTTCAGGATTTGACACCATAAATTAAATATATGGTTGGAATTCTTTAAATACAATGTAAAAGCCTTAGCCAACCCCTTATTTCTTTATATTTTGTAAGAACTGGTAAATGCACAAACATAAATGCAAATACAGCATATAAGGCAAAAAAACAGACTTTCCACAATTCTGACAAGTATGAAAGTCAATATTTGGCATGATCACTTTCATTCTACAGCACAGCATGAACTCTCTTAGGCGGGCGTTCTTGTAATTTCTTTAAGTAATCCTTAGGAATAGTTCTCCAGACTTCTTGAAGGACATTCAAAGCTCTTCTTTGGATTTTGGCTGTCTTATGCTCTCATGTCTGTCAAGATGATCCCACACTGCGTCACTGATGTTGAGGTCCAGGCTCTGGAGAGGCCACTGTGTGTTTTCCTATCCGGGTATGCTTTTACTGCATTGGCAGTGTTTTTAGAATCATTGTCATGCTGAAAAATGAAGTCATTGCCAATCAGACACATTCCAGAGGATATTTCATGGTGGTTTACAATTTGATTTTCCATGCTCATAATTCCATCAATTTTAACAAGATCCGTTAACCACTGGCTTTAATGCAGCTCCAAAGCCTAAAAACCTCCAGATGGCTGTAAGACAGTGACTACTGTACCTCTTTCCTGACCTCCACCATGCATATTGACAGTGATTTCAACCAAACTTTTCATTTTTGAATTCATCACTCCATATGAACTGTTGCCACTGATTTTCAGTCCAATTCTTGTGTAATTTGGGATACCTTAGCCTTTTAGTTTTGATAGCCACCCTTCCACTGAGACCATTTCTGATGAGGCTTTAGTGAACATTAGATGGATCAGATGATGCTCTCATGCTGTGTTTCAGATCTTTGCTGGAATTTGTCCCATTTCTTAAGGGTATGCCCTTTAGATACTATCCATCTGCTGTAAGACTGACACTTATTTGTCCACCACTTATCCAGTTTCCTCAATGTTTTAATGACACACTGCACACGTGCATAACAACTGCAAAGTGGTTTTAGTTAATAGTTCTTTGGGAATGCAAACATCTATTTTATGCCTGTCAAACGGTGTTATCTTTGGCATTTGTCATAGATTGAACTAAAGAAATGGGAACAAATGATGCGGTTTTATAACAGGCTGCTAGTAAAGTACTTAAAGATACAATTTAATATTGATTCTTTGCTAAGTTGCCTGTTATGTGCAGATGCAACACACGTCATCCCTTGAGTTAGGAGGCTTTTTTATTAAATTATTTATTGAATGATTTATAGGTCAGCGTTAAACCGCTTAACAAATAATAAAAAAAATTGCTCTGAAAATTGGACTGGACTAAAAATGACTGGAACAGGCAGCCAGTGCCTAAAGAAAAACTGAAATGCCTTCAGAAATTCTGGAGAACTGTTGTTCAAAGACACTTAAAAGAATTACAACAAAGTCTGGCAGCAAAATATAAAGAAATGACTAAGCTTCGCACAGTACAGTTTTTCTTTATAAAGAGATTAAATGATCAATAAATACGTGAAATTGTGGCAAAATAATGAACTAATCAAATTAAGCCGTAATTGGTGCCCATCTAATTTTTTATAATCATTTTAGGCTAATTGCATTTTGTGGGAAATAATCAGCTGGATAGCAAAAACTTGTAGAGTGATGACATAATTTGATGAATTGATTGATGTGATTTTATAGAAATTTTTAGAAAATAATAGAATGAATTATATTAAAACACTACTGCCAATGCTGTTCACTTTATGTGATCGAGCAAATGGGCTCTGACCCAGAGGTGGGCATGTGGGGCCACAGGCCGACTACAGGAATGCCACTTTATTCTGAGACACATTGAGCATGAGCGCCTGGAGAGAGGACAGCAGTTTTACATCTTTGCATTATTGGCCACTTATGTTAACTAACATAAACCCAGCTCTTAAATCATATGGCACACTGCTTTATTGAGAAATCTTGTGTGTTGTATCAAAATATTTTAAGCTCTTTGAACGTCACTTCAGGTGAAGCTGTGTCATTATACATGTCAGGGAAAATTACCATTTGACTCTGTGACTGACACTGTGTGATAAAGGCAGTGTTTATGTATTTTTTTTATTCTAAGATAAGCAGTTCAACTTTTTTTGTCACCCCAACATCAGAAATGAATCTGACACCCTCGTGACACCTGCTTTTTATGCCTTGCCTTGAATCTTGATTTAATCGCTGAATTTATTATTAAAAACAGCTTTTGCAATTAGTTCTGTCAGAAACGCTAAAGGTAATGAGCTATCTTGATGTTTGCTCCAACAGTAGTTAGCTTATGAAGCAGATGTGAATCCTATGTAATAGATAGAAGAGGTACGATATGTGTGAGTTTTTTTGTAGAACTACTGAAAATCCAGTTATTGGCTGATGTAACTGATGATTCAAGTAAAAACAAATGGGTTTTTATGTCATTTTATTTTCTTCTGCTTTTTTGTGGTATGTAACAACCTCTCCGCCTTAAAAAAAAAGAGCTGTCTCTGTGCAATGTCAAGAGGACTTTCTGCCAAATTAGCCCCAATCTGCCTTGTGTAACTGTGTCTGCCTGAAAGTCCCATGGTGTTGTGTCTTTCATTTGACAGTACAAAATACCAAAGGGACAGGCAACACTTTTCAAGGTCAGGAAAATAGCACCACTTACCCTTGTCTTGGCATTTTCATGAACAAAAGCGTCTTTAATTTGACTTCTACGATCAGTTCTGCTTTGTTTCGAGTCTTCTTATTAAATTCTTTTAAAACGAAAACCAGTAGAAAATCATAGGGAAACAAAGTTCTGCACCGCATCTTGACAACTCATACAGAGTTATTAACGATGTACAGGCCAACCAACGCTTGTCAATTACCAGTGTCATCCAAGACCCAGATGAGGAAAACAACCGTGGATCAGGTCATGGAAGGACTCAAATCTGAATGCAGAGGAGATTTGAGAGTTGCAGCAGAGATGTCAAATCAAATGCTCTTGTGAGCATCGAGCACTGATCAATCCCAGTGCAATCAAGCATAACCGCTTCTCAGGGTGACATTTTCTTTCAGTCAGTTTCTAACCCGGGTCTTCTGCCTGCCAGCACACTGCAGAGCCACCAGTGATCAAGCTCTTTCGGCGAGGCTTAGACAGTAAACTGCTAGAGGTATTTCGATTAGCAATGCAGAGAAAATGAAAATGATAAAGATTTTTAACTTGCTCCGTTCACTCGATATAAGATAAGGCGAGTTACGCTGGGGACCCTGGAGATGTAAGGAAAATACACTGTGAGTGACTTAACCTGTACAGTAAGCAGTCGGGGCTCCTGTGACGCAAAGCACAAAGAAGTGATTAAAATGCTTTAAACCCTCGGTGTTCAATTGCTACAATTTGTCAAAATTGATACTCTGAGACACAACACATATTTTAAGATTCAGTGTGACTTACAGTTACCAAGGATATCATTATCTCAGATGTCACCGTAAATAAACATCCATAAATTTGCTTAGAAATCAGAAACAGAAAGACACTGCTCATTACTCCAGAACCTGTCTGAGAATTGCCAGGTTTTTAAATTACTCTTGTTTCTGCATCCATTACAATAAAGAACATCCATCAATCCATTTCCTTAACTGCTTATCCAATTCAGGGTCTGGAGCCGATCCCAGCTGACAGGGTATGCCCTGGGCAGGTCTCTGAGGCCACCACAGGGCACAATAAGGAACAGATAATAGTTAATTTGGTGGAAATTTAATGGTGCCAATTTGCCACAAGATAAGTGGTTAAAAGATCTTTGATAGCTCAAAGGACAAAGCAGGTGTTGACATATATAGAAAGCATTGCGGTAGCTATACGTCATTACGGTGATACTGAAATGTACTCGAGCTTACAAGCAGTGAAAAATAGATTATTTGACCTGTATTGGGAATTTATTAAAAAAATTTAAAAGCAGCTCTTTTGATGTAATATTGATGTAATATTGTCGAATGTAATTTTTTGTTATTTAGATGCCAGGATGTTCAGTAACAAAAGGGGACAGGATAGCATTACATACCAAAAAAAAGGTAAACCTTGACTTTGGAATAGTTGCTCATATAAGTTCCAAAAGTCAAAAATAAACCAGCTCAAGTGCTTCAAATTAAAAACAAGGGCAAAAAAACTAATAACGTTTTATTTTATCAGTTAAGATATTCAAATTTTTCAAAATGATTTTTTAAACTGTATATTAATTCCAAATCTTTCAAAGTTGAACTTGAAAGTTCAGCTTTTGAGTTTTTAGTGTGTTTTCAATAAATGGAATATTTCAAATTCATTATAAAATGCAAAGCCTGCTACTTTTCAAAGCTCCTCGTAAATCTTCCGCGTGTGGCGTCACATGATCGCCTGTAAATTTGAAAAAAAAAAAAAAGCATTAAAACATTAAATGCAGCTGTCCAAGAGAACAGATCTCTTCCTGTACTCAGCAGACGAGCACTCGGCTCCACTACATTTGAAATAACACTGCAGATGTCATTTATGCTAACAAGCATTTTGTGTGCTGAGTCTCTCGCAGGCCACAGCCCATCAGTCCCGTACCTGCCAGCATGATAAATGGTTGCAGAAGCAATTCGGCCAATTTGAAAGAGTGTGTAAATTAGGCCAAGGATTTCTTTATTACCGGCACGACTGTCTCGCCCACATACATACGTAAGACAAACATGATCAGAGAGATTCTATAAAACTACTGAGATGTGTGCATCTGAATCTCAATCTGAGCGGGAGCTAATGAATTGTTTAGCACGTCCATAATGAGAAGTGATTTGTGTTTCCTTGGGTACAGGAGGACGTGACTTTCTGGCTTTCTTTATGTATCCACTGCCACTATGGATTAGCCCTGCTCAGCATGTCAGGGGCATTTCACTGATCTAACCATCCTGTTGTCTCTTCTTTCCTTACACAACACTCAACAACTCATAAACAGAAATTGACTTCGACTCCTGTAGGGAACACTGGAGGCACAGATGGCATTTAGCTTCAGATTCACTCTTGTCTAAATATTTCATCTCTCAACAAGCCAAATGAATCCTCTCCATTCTAATACATATATAATTTGACAACAAGCTCAGAGACATCCACTCTGTGTAAATACGATATGACTAAAACGAATATCTCCCTAGTTGTATAATAAGTATATCATGAATAATTGATGACCCCCTAATCATAACGGAGAGGTAATAAGGCTTTCTCACCACTCCACATTACATCCCTGTTTCTGAGCAGCCTACAGCCGGCCTTAGGCGGAAAATGCATGGAGGAGAAATGTGCAAATAACCATGTTTGCTATGTATGGATGGTTTAAAGAAAATACAAAGATGTAGAGTTTAGTAGCTTTAGAAAACATATTCCATCAGGAGACGGAGTGTAACCAGTAAATATTTAAGCAATTTTAAATCTGAACTTGGATCTGTGAAATGAAAATTACAGTATGAAAATGCCTTTAAGGCAAATGTTTTCGAAAATTTATGAGAAAAATAACACAGGCCCGAATTGCAGGTCTTGCAGTTGCGGTTGCATAGTTTGTTGATTACATAGTGGAGCTGAGCAGGCAGCTCAGGCTGAAGGACGGGTGGGAGGGGGGTTACACACAAGAAAAAAAAGAAAAGAAAAGAAAGAAAGCAAGCACTGTCTTTCTGCAGCTGTGTATGCCAGACTGGATTATCTTCTTATATGTGTCAGTCAACATAATCAGTACAACACACATTAATGTTTTGGAGTAGAATTCCGTTTTATTCACAGAAGAAGTGCCTGGAGCATGTGAAGCAAACTGGGTGAGGCTGTTATTCTACTGACCTGTCAGTTCTTCCTCCCCTTTCATCCATCTGATGTAGGCGGCTGGCTTGCCGCCAATGGCTGTGCAGGTGAGCTCCGTCTCGTTCCCCTCGCTGACCACGTCCTCGCGGCTCTCGATGATTGGGCTGCCTGGCGGGACTGACCCAGAACAATGGCAGAGGCAGCACATAGACACACAGACAAAAATCTATTAAAACTTTACAATAAAGTTTCAAATACTTAAATACTGGGTAAAGTCACTATTCCTCACTATTAGTAAGCTACCTGTTCACATTGATCGTCAGTGAATACATAAGTTTCAGCTTTTACTGATTTACAGTGCTCTCCATAACAGTTGGGACGATGATACATTTTTTTGTAGTTTTGCATCTGTGCACCATCACAATAAATTAATCAGTCAACATGTGATGGAAGCACACAAACTTAACAAACTGGTTATACACAGTTCCCCATTTTCAGAGGCTCAAAATCAATATAAACATAAAGACTCTTTGTACTTGGATGGAAAAACTTTTAGAACCCACGGACATCACAAAGTGTTGTTTCCCCCTTGAGATGCTCCGCTACCCCTTTACTGCAGCCACCTTTGTATCAAATAATGGAAAAGCATGCTCTGTTGAGCTCAGATCATGTGACTGATTTGGCCATTGAACAATATCCCATTTCTTTACCTTAAGCAACTCTTGGGTTGCTTTTGCAGTACACTTTGGGTCATTTGTACTGATCAGTCTGCAGCATTTGGTTGAATCTCTTCTATAAGCAGTCGCATCGTCACAATGCTGCCCCCACTATGTCTAACAGGTTTCATCCTTTTCCCATCATTCTGGTATTTCATTTGTCCAAAGATCTAACCTGACCTTTGTGCTCTTGAGTGTAATTAGTGGTTTTCACCTTCTAAACTCTCTGCATTTCCATTCATGAATGCATCTCCGAATTGTGGACTTTGATTGTTTACTGCCTAATAATGGCATTAACATTTCTCATATTTAAAATTAAATTAATGACAGCAATAAATGACAGCAGGTCTGCTGTATTTGTCATAAAATAACAAGGGAATAGGCCTCACATGGCCATGAGACTACTTGCCAGTCAATTAGACCAATAATTTACATTTTTTCTTGAATTAAACCTGTAAGTCTGCACTTCAATCACGTATTGTTGAAATTACACTCCACTGTGGTGGTGTACAGAGGCAAAACTACAAGTATTGTGTCTTCAGTATGAGGAATAATAATTATAGATTCAATATAAGGACTCACATATCTCAGCGAATTCTTGGAAGGAGATGGACACGATTATACAAAGAAGTGGAATAACTTGAGCGACATATATACCAAACAAAAAAAAGACACTACTGCAAATAAAGGGGATCCAAGAAGGAAAAAAGAGCCAGGATTTTGTTTGTTTCTATTGTGGCTAGCACTGCATAGGTGCACCACAAGGCAATTAACAGCATGCACAAGCATGAATGCTAGCAACGGCATCGTAGTAGGCACTTAAAAGACTCACCACAGTAGTTTGAAGTAGCTGTTAGTGTGAGAGGTTGAAAATGATGTTGCCTCACCAGCTATGACAGATATCTAGTCTTTTTGCAGATTTTTGGGGAAGCAATAACAGAAATACTCTATTTTCTCATAAAAAAGAAAAGAAACTTGTGTGAATGTGGCAAGGATAAACTACAGGCTAACATTAAGCAGTGTTCTGTTATTGTCTAAGGAGATCCAATCTTGTCCATGTTCTCGTTTGAAAGCATGCACAATCCAAGCAAAGCTTTAATTTAGAATGTTAACCTTATGGAGAGTAGAAAACAACTGAAAACAAAACAAAAAAATCTTTTTTGTTTGTTCTGCTGTGAGGTTGTGACACATCATCATTTCATGCTGATATAGTGAACTGGTTCATATTTTTAAATCATATAATTATCATTTATTTAAAGTTTTGTTATACCATCTGGAAAATGGGAGCCTGATACTCGTTTGTATATTTGATAACTTTGACGATTTCTACCAACTCACATGAGAAATATAGTTTTATTTAGATGCTACTAGAATAGACAAGCTGTTACAGACTAAAATATATTTTAATTTGTAACAGCTTGTCTGCATTTCAGATGCTTTTGCAGTTGTTCATATCATACCTGTCTAATTGAACGGACGTGTGCTTATTTTAATCATTGCAGGTGCCTACACAAGAGGTCATATGACTCACATTTTTATTTTATTCATCCCAAGAGGGGCTTAAGTAGCTGATATGAGTTGCGTGATAATCTGCACAGTGTCGTGACAATCCATCAAACAAGTGGCGGACCAACAAACCACATTACCTCAATTACTGTTGTTTTTTTTTTTTTATTAGGTGAGTAAAAGGAGTTTGTGATGCATTCATTAACACGTACCTTCAGCTAGCATGAGTCACGAATCTATCTCCTTGCATTTCTTTTAAGCTAATGTTAAACAAGCATATGTGATTAGAACCTATGGGTGTAAAAAGAGGATGGGGAACAGTTCTCCCTCATCCCTTGTATTACTCATCACAGCAAACTTGCTGAACTTCAGTTACTTGAAAGAAAAAAGTCAGCAGGGTGCTTATTTCAAGGACTCTTCAATGCAACCCTTAGTTCAGAAATACTGCAGCTAGGTTTCAATTGTACAACTAGAGTAATTACTTTAAAGTGCTTTTAATTCCTTTCAATCCCCCAGGATGTCTGCATGTATAATAAAGCTTAACTAGAGTAATTTCACTCCAAAGCATCAAAGTGTGGCACAGCTGACTCTCAATAGGGAATCATTTGGAGCAGCCAAGTCAACATTCACCGGGATTCACATAGTCAACACAGCTGCCAAAACCAACGCGGTCTGAGCCATCAGTTTCAGCATCTGCTCCTTTTCGTTATGCTGTTGAGCACCGCGAGAGCCTAATTGGCTGACATTTTGTTTCAGTTGCTAAAGATAACAGGATCAAAGATTACTATTATTTCATATTCACCGTCTATAATGGAGCAAAATAAAACAAAAGACTGTGTGCGCGTGAGGTTCACACATGTGTCCTCACACCTACCTAGGACAGTGATGTCTGCGTAGGCTTCCTGAGGAGGATCTGTGTAGAGCTGGCACACATAGCGTCCCTCATCGGAGAGTGACACATTGGACAGAGACACCCGCAGTTCGTTGTCAGAGAAATTCACCAGCTGGAACCGGCTGTCCTTGAGAGCTGTGGGGATACATGTGAGACAGAGACAGTGAGGATACAGAGTACAGGGACACAAACACGGGACATGGGGTGAGAAAGAAGGGGGACGGGTGGGGGAAATGGGAAGTGGTGGAGAGTGGTGAGAACGAGAGAGAGGACGGAGAAAGACAAAAGAGACAGTAGAAAATGAGACTGAGGAGAGAATGTGGTGGGCAGAGTGCTGCTCTTTTGTGGGCTTTCTCCTTAATTGAGTAAAAGAAAAGTGAGTTTCAAAATGATTCATACAAGTTGATTTATAAAGTAGCTTTACAGTCCAAAGAGCACTCGCAAAGAAAGGAAAGTGTGAAGAGCGCTCATGAAGACTCCTAACAAGCTAGGAACTCTTAAAATGGGCTGCGGCTGGTCATGGATGGATGCATCAAACTCACATATTCCACAAAAAGGAGAGGCATTCAAACATACATAATGAATTAAATCACTGTGTGCAAGAAGAGAGGCTCGGATGCCTCAAACTCTAAATCAAACGTAGACAAGAATATGTATACTAATGCCTGTATAGACTGGCTGAAATTTCTTTTAATGTCATCAAACTAGGTTAGCCATCTCTGAGTTTTACCCACTGCGTTTCATTTAGGTCAGCCCTCATCCCAGAGCACTCTTTTACATAAACAGCTTTGGTTGATTTGATTGGGAGCCCTTTTGATGTTTTGACCTGCCTTCTTTATCAAGCCCTCTCTGCATCTGTCGAGCTAACGAACTCAATTCAGCCCCCTTAAAGCGCAGGGAGTTTATTATTCCCATCAGGCTTTACACTTAGCATCATGATCATTACCCAAGGTCTCGGGGCAGTGTCAACATGAAACCTCATTCCCTGATATAATTTGAGAGCTCTTTGGAAGTCTCTCCTCAAAGGGAAACAATGACACTGATGCACTTTGAGAATCCGAGCACCTGCTAGGGAGGGAAACCCTTCACTTGTGAGATGCTGATGGCAGTTTACACAAAGCTGTTTCATAACTGGCTCGCTGCTTACATAAGAGCGTGGATGATGCACAGTGTCTGCTGTTTATTAGAATGTGCATATTTTCACCAAAATATGTCTAATGATTACATTCATTAGCCTATTAAATATCAGGAAATATGATGGCTTTATGAAAAAAAAATTATCTCACATTAAAATGTTATCCAGTCTAAGATCATGCTTGTTAATATAAAAGTAGAACATATTCCAACTCAAAGAGCTTAAAAGAAAGATAATTAGTTAATTGTCTTACAATTTTGGCAAAAAATAGCAACAAACAGTCCATTGTTCATCATGTAAACTCACAAATAAATCAATAATCACAGCAGCCAATGAGACTGCTCTCATCAGGAAGTCAGAAAGTCAAATTCAAGGATTGGACATCCTTTCTCTGGTGCTTTGAAATGGTGATGAGCTAATCAAAACTGAGAGCTGTAATCACATTTGTTGTGCACAACAGTACTAGGTCCACCAACCAGCAGCCGGAACTGTTTAATGAATCAAAAAATTGGTAAGAATACATATATATGATCTGTGTACTTTTTGTACTTTTCTTGGAAAGCCTTTCATAATCAAAGTGCAATTTATAAACAGTTTTGGAATCACATTACTTGTGTCAATCTGTAAGACACATTTAGTTAGAATGGGCCTTAAGTTATGGTCCTTGAACACTTAGAAAGAGAGTGACATCTGGACTTTCTCTAAATGCTCCGATGATCCGATGCTTCACAGTATCCTACTTATGAAGTCCTTCATGAATACACATTTATTTCCTGTCAAATTTAGAACACTTGTGGTATATTTTATATCAGTAATTTAGTATTTGTGCCTGTACATTACAAGTAGGGCTGAAGCGGAAAAGGGGGATGTCTCATATTTCTGTGCTCCAATCACAATTTAGGAACATTTAAATCAAAACGCTCGCTTATGGTGCCAGGTCCCCACCGCATACTTATGAAGTAGATTGGCTGAGCTTTTGCATATTAAAGTCAAATATATTTCAATCAGCCACAATTCTTCACGTCGTAAAGAAGTACTGCTATAACCGGCGTACTTGTTACGACAAAGCAGTGATATGGCATTTGCACTGAGTTTCTAGGCATCAGAATCTTGTAAATCCAGCGCTTAGTCTATTGCTGCTTGGGTTTAGATCTCTGCCAACTCCTAAGCTTTTTACTGATGCGTGAAGATTGATGAAAGTGAAACAAGGTGGTAAAGTTGTTTCTAGACCGCTAAACAATTAGCTGAAACTTGTTGTAAAGCTCAATAAAGTCTAGGAAAAGACGCAGCTTTGGCTGGTAATTCTCTGCACACTCCTAACTATAAATGAACCCTTTCACACTGTCACATTGGGTTGACGCTCTCACTTTATTTGTATTAAAAAAAAATAGTCTTTATAACAGCCTTATAACTGTAACAGCAACCAGTTTCCAGAAGCTCTAAACCTACCAGGTCTGACGTTGAAACAAAAGCCTTTCGGCAGTATCATTTTAAACCTTTGTAACACAAAGTCAGACAACTCCTGAGAAGATGCAGTGAATAAATAATGGTGTTCAATTGCATCACCATCCAAAGAGGTCCACCTTCGCTGATAAAGGCTCATTTTTCCCATTTCAGATGACAAGTCTGCCAAATTGCATGTCATTTCGCATGTATCTGGCACAATAAATGGCTCACCCTAACAAGACTCGCTCCGCTTCTACCTGTGACATAATTCATCTTTATTTGCTGCAGCAGAAATTTGTTTATATGGCCTTCACTGGTACTGTAAAGCTGTTATCGTTTTGGTATTTCTGTGCGTATCTGTGTTTCTGCGGCTGCCGCTTTGCTTGTAGCCACTGTTCTGGCTCCTGGTGTGTCTCTGTGTCACTGCTGTTTACTTCCTTGTATACAAAGATCTGCCACTGTGTCAGGCGGCCCCGTTGACAGGTAACAATGCCACTGGCCGAGGGGGGTCCCAGCAGAACCAGCAGTCCTTCAGGAACAGAGCCTAGAATAGCGCTGCTATGGGGTTCACTAAACCCCATTACCAGAAGCACAAATATGCAGCGGCGGACCAGAAACACACTCCAGCCAAACATATACTCAGATCTAATCGTGGATAAACAAAACTGCTTGTTTTTTGTAATTGAAGGCGGCACTGCATTGAGTTAGGCGGAGAAAATGCCACGTTTATAGGCCCGCTTGGAGCGCCTCGACAAAGCACGAAGAGGAAAATGTTGTCTTAACATCATGGAAAGATTTCCTTAGCAGTGCTGATGTAAATTTGATTGTCTCTGTGATGTAACAGTGAATTATTCACTGTTGCTTTTCTATCTGCTCTTTGGTGTCAAAATAAATATTTTTTTAGGTGTAGAGCACAACATGATCTTTGCTATTTTACAGTCCATTCTTCTCTGCCATATTGTGAGACAGCTTTAGGCATTTTGTACAAATATGACAAAGATGTGTACTCAAACTCCCCCGATGCTCTTCGCTAGTGAGAAAATGGAACACACGTCTCACTACCTAGACTTGTGAAACAGCTGGGATGCAATATAGACCGAAATGAAGGGTGTTCCTCGTTCACCTTGAATCTTGGCTCAGATCCCAGATATAAACAAGTTTTAAAAAAAAAAAGCAGAGACAAAAACTCAGTTCGGAGTAGAAGTAGTCCATATGCTCATGCATAATCATAATGTTCAATATCCTAATCTAAGAGATTATCGTAAAATCGAACAGTGACAAGGACACAAAAGTATTCCCATTATGGTAGCATTGTTAATTATCTCATATCAATCTTGCAGTATTCTTAGCCTAATGACTTGTGTAAAAGAGCCAGAAAGTCAAGGACAGATGGAATCATGTTTGCACAGAAAATCTGACAAAAAGCTGGAGCTGATGTTCTAGTGATATCTGATATCTTCACAGTAATGCCAAACACAGGACAATTCCTTTGAACGGGATGTGTTTACAATTGTTGCAGCTCTTTACGTGCAACAATCGCACAAAATAAGCAAAATAAGCAAAAAGTCTAGACGAGAGTGTAGACGAGATGTTGTGGACAAGCTAATGAGGAGAAATATGATGTTCCACTATGCTGCAGGAATAGGCTGTTTATGATTAATCTGTTTATTGTGTTCTTTGACAATTGACTAAAAAAATAAAATATCGGTGAGAAATGCACAGGATCATTTCAGGCTGTCACATCTGAGTAACATTAAAGAAAGACAGCTAAACATCTCGGCTCTGCTTAAGTGGTGTTCACGGTCTGTGGACGTAGGCCGTGCGGTGGTGTGTGTGGTGGACCCAGGTGCGAACACATGTGAGTAGACGGGAGTGAACTTAAACTGAAAGCGAGCCTTTATTATGGCTGATGACACAGAGTTCAAACAAAGCAGAAATACCGTGACTAAACTATAACTTAACTGGGAAACTAATACTGTGATAAATTATGGAGACTCGGAGAACTATGACGATGACTGCAAGGACTGGCTGTGAAAACATGGAGGGTGGGAACACAGACGACGCGACACAGACTGAATGAAACACAGAGACTAAATACACATAAGGGATGATCAAGGGAAGTGGAAACACATGAGGGGGAACAGCTGATACACATGAACCTAATGACAGGACGGGGAAAGTGAAACTACATACACTGACATTAGACACAGACTTTCAAAGTAAAACAGGAAACATGGGGATTAGACGTGACCTGAACTGAACATAACCACACAGACATGACGCATGACAGGTAGACGCACGGACCAGGGAGACTGAATACAGGAGGAGATGACATAAACAACTAAGAAACAAAGGCAACCTCGAAATTAACTAGATTAACTAAACTAGGGCACAAATGAATACCAAAATATATAAGAGCTCAAACACTGGGTCACAGACCCAGCCCATGTGGAGGTAAATTTTGTATCTTTCAATAGAATTTTTTGGGGGTTTTTTGCAATAGATTATAAATTATTCCACTTGACAGTGAGGAAAAAATTCTTAGGTTACAGTTTTTGTTGTTGAAGTTTGAAAGTGGGTATTTAACATGGAAACTAATACACACATTGCACATTAAATTATACCCTGACAGATTCTTGCACCATAGTCTTCTGGAAGAAGAGCCATTATTATAACCTTAGTTTGCTTATTATTAATACGATTAGGATAAATTGAATAGGGGGTGGCTGTAGCTCAGGTGGCAGAGCAGGTCAGCCACTAATCAGAAGGTCGGTGGTTCGATCCCAGGCTGCCTCCTGGCTGCATGCCAAATATCCTTGGGCAAGATACTAACCCCATGTCTGCCTACTGGTGGTGGTCAGAGGGCCCGGTGGCGCCTGTGTCCGGCAGCCTCGCCTCTGTCAGTGCGCCCCAGGGCAGCTGTGGCTACAGTGTAGCTGGCCATCGCCAATGGGTGAATGACTGAATGTAGTGTGAAGCGCTTTGGGGTCCTTAGGGACTAGAAAAGTGCTATACAAATGCAGGCCATTTATGTGTTATTATTTTATTATTCCTTTATTTATCCAGGTAAAAATCAGCAAAAGCCAAACACGCATACGCCACATAATGACATAACAATTTAAAACAAATGCAATTTTCCACAAAAACATGTGAAAAACAATATATGATATCTGGTCATTAAGAGCGACATTAAAAACAGTCGCACTGACTAAAAGAGGTATTCTCTTGTTCTTCTAAAATTTGACTTAAGGTAACCATTTCTGACAATTTCAGCTCCTTCTGCAGATTATTCCAGGAAACTGGGGCACCGTATCCTGGACTATTATCACAGTGTCATATTATTATCATGACCGCGTGTCTTTGAGTCGGAAGACTTTTGAGTAAAGTTCCAGTTTTTCAAATTGCTTTGTTCTGTGTTTGATTATTGTTTGCTTTGGTTTTGATATCTAGTAGTATTGTTTGTTTGTTTTTGACTACTTGTGGTTTTGGTCTCCCCATTTGTTTTATACTATGTTTTAATCTGTTCTGTTCTTATCTAGGTTTAGTTCAGCTGTCTCTTGTTCCCCTGTTGTTTCCACTTTCTTTGGTCACCCCTCAGTGCACCTGTCTGTATAAATGAACTCAGTCTTTTTTCGTTCTCTGTTGTGTTATATCGTTTACTCCTAACTCCGAGTCCCTGTTTGTCTTTAATTCCTAGTTATCGCCCAGTGTTTCTGGATTTATCTGATACCTGTTTGGGATTTCTGTTTATTTTTCCCTTTGGGCTTTTTTATGGATTATGTTTATTGAATTTCTGTCAGTCACTTCTTGTTTTAAACTCTGCCTCTCTGTGTCCTTGCATTTGGGTCCTCACATCAACACACTCCAGCTTTCAGCAGCTATGATTTAAAATGACCAAAATAAAAGAGTAATAGTAGTAGTAGAAGTAATCTATTTTGTTTGTTTACTAGATGTCAACCCCAGAAAGCCCAGATACTGTGCATAACTATCAAAATCCTGAAAGTATTTATACCAGCGGGAGTATGCCAAGAGTGACCAGGCTTATCTTACCAGTGCCAAACTACTGTATAAAAGTCATAAACATAAAAAAAAAGATTCTTTAAAACTGACAGTACAAATATTCTTGGTATCTGGTACTCAGGATTAAAAGAAATTGGATTTCTTCTATTTCCATCAATTGTTTGCACTCATGGTCCTTGGTGCAAACAAGGACCACAAGTTTGCATTTCAAGGCTTCATGCTTACAAACACAATACAGGCGCTAACTGACAAATGCTTTTCTTCAAAAAAGGAAGAATGATGACGACTCGCAGCAGAAAGACATCTTGTGTGTTTGTGTGTCTGTATGTATGTGTGCGTGCGTGCAAGACACACTGGCACTTACGTCTAACGTCTTTGAAGTAAATGGTCTGTCTGTTGGGGTTGAGCAGCTGGATGACGGAGTCATCGTTGTTCCTCACTCTGCAGCTGATGGTGGCCATTTCCCCCTCAATCACCGTCACGTTGTCAGTTGCCAGATTCTGACCTTCGACTTCACAACGCAGGCGGAAAACACAGAAGCAAAAAATACATTTGAAATGTGGAACAAGCATCTCTGTCTGGATATTTAAAGTATCTTAAATATTTATGTTTCTAACAACAGGGACTGCATGTCAACACACGCACAGTGCAAAGATACGTGAATAGGCCGTGTAGATTGTCTGTTTGCAGCCATGTCTAATCCTTTTAATATAAGAGCCATGTGCAGTGTTTGTCACTATTGATCTCCCCCAGCTCAGAGTGGGCCCTGTGAGTCAGTGCCAGATGGGCTGTAAGCTCTGCTGCCCACGAAGGTAGGGAGTGAGGAGAGGGTAGGAAGAAAAAGAGACAAAGAACGAGTGTAAGAAAGTGGCAAGTAGTAGATATGGGCGGGGTGGAGGAGGTGAAGAAGAGAGGGGGAGTTAAACAGAGCACGAGAGAACAGAGAGAGGAGAGATGAGCCGAGTTGGATGCTGTATATGGTTAAGCTTTATCAGAGCCCTCCATCTGAGGTTCCATGTGACCAATGTGTGCTCAGTGTGCTCAGCGGTTCTGTTCTGTATCTCTAGGAATAAAAGTGCTGTAAGCATCTGAGTCACTCTCTGTACACTGGCATTGTTGCCACTGACAGACCCTGGACCTTGTCATCGTAACTTACACCTCACACCAAACCCCCCACACACAAAAAGCCTTGCTTTGTTTCCCCTGTCTTTGGAGAGAAAGAGGAAGAGAATCAAAAGTCACCTTGTGCTATATTTATCCGGCAGGAGCCAAAAAAGCGTAAGAAGAATGGAGAATACGTTTTAATGCTTCAGATTCACACCAGCGGAGGAACAACACTCTAAGCCACAGCCCCAAGAAAACATCAAAAGCACATTTGCATGCCCGAGTTGTCAGACACCTCTATTGCATTCTGACATTTACAAAGTGGAGGGGGGGAAAAAACGCCTGCATTTTCAGATAGTGATAATGGGAATAGACAGGCAAACTAACATGATTCAAAATGAACTCTGTGAATGCGGCAAGCAATAAGAAATTAACCTCCTGTGGAGAAAAGCTCCTCAGACCTGTCTGATGCAATGAACTACCCATTTCATTCCACTCTGCTGCCGGGGCTCAGGCTCAGGACAAAGGGAAGGTAATAGGTAAAAACAGCCACAGATTATGTCCAACAAGTACACAATACAGTCAATTAAAGGTTTATCGTAAATAGGTAATATTTACTACATGCTAATGTGGTTGAGGACAATTTCATGTAATACTGCTGAACAGGCATGGACTAAGAATACGTCCAAGAATAACTGCTCAGATAGGACAACAATGACTGAATGTGTAAATGAGAGAGTACATGAGAAAATGCAAAAAAAGGTTTGAAGCCCCATCTTTTTCAGCACATTACCTCTGACTGATGGATTGTAATGCATATAAAAATGGAAATGAGATCTATGTTTTAATGTAACATATATATTAGACCTTTAGTTTCCCTTGTGTAAAAACAAGCCACAGCAAATAATGAGTGGATAGTGCACATGCAGATCAGAAAAGTGTGGATCCCACCTACACTGTGACTAAAGTCAGTGCAAAATAGTGCACACTGCCACAGGCTGAATCCATAGAGGAATCACCACAATCTACCAGGTACCTGAAAAAACTGTGTAACGGTTAACTGTGAATTAATCAATAAACACTATATATTGTGACAATCCTGCTCCCTAAAATATAAGTTCTAACAGCTACACTATATTCCCCTTTACAATTGAACGCAAACCTATTTTCTCTTCAACAAAATACCTGACAAGCGAGTTCACGGAGGTGTAACGGTTCTGAAACGTAAGTCAAACTTACAAAAATCCCTGGCTTGCTATAGCAGGCTGTATACCAGTGTGACAATACCTTCCACACTCCTGCCCAACCCCTTGCCACAAATGTTGAACTTTTATTACATTTCTAATACAAGCAATGATAGATGATTGAATGATAAAAACCTTGTAAAAGTTAACCTAAGGAGAAAAATTATGTGACAGCCAGAAAGACAGGAATGGATTTATCATTGTAGCTAACTGCAAGGGCATTACTGGTATGCTAGCCAGGCTTTATGGTTAAACACAGAATTAAACAGTCTTTTTTTGTGATAGCGTAACAGCACGAGTTTAAAAACAGGCTGAAAAGTAGCATAATCTGATCCTCATCCTCACATATGAACCAAAACCATGTTGAAGAGTTGTAACCAGGGGATCATGTGTTGGAAGAATCAAGAGTTCATTTCTCATGTGCTGCAGCCTGGCGTTGCTTCCAGCGACATCATGGACATCCGTGTACCTTTTAACACATTCCTTTTTCATCCTCATTCTTGTGATGTGTTAATGGTGCAGATGCAAAGTGGCGGTCGCAAAACTTCAAGGATCTGGTTAACTACTGAGGAGGATCATTGTTTTTATGTGCTATGTAATTTCAAACGTGCCTTTAGAAACAGCTCAAAGAACATACAAACTATTTTGCGCAGTCTGACAAAATGTGTCTGTGAGTTAAATGTAAAATCGTGAGGAAACATGTCAATATGTGACACAGAGAGATGGATAAAGATGTAAGAAGGGGAGGAAAGGAGAAGACGGGAGACTATTTTCAAAGGTAAGCACAGCTTAGCAAGTGAAATGTTACACACTGGCAATGTTAAGCTTGCATATAGCTTGCATATACTGTCCTAATTCATTGCAGAGTTTTTAAAATCATAAACTGGATCTACAACTGTGTTGCTGAATTATGTTTTAGTGAAATATCTTGTAAAACAAACTGAAGTATAGTTTGTCTGTGTTATTCAAACACTGCGTTAAAAACTAGGCAGTTTAGTGCAGGCTAACCTGGTTAGCTTACAGTATTGTGATAAAGTCTTCAGTAATGGACTGGTTACATACAGGGTAGCAATTAGTTTACATTTAAGGCAATAATGCGGATTAGATTCACTCACCAAATTCTACCTTTCATACTAGCTGTATAGCATCTAGGGATTGGAAATCTAGCCATAAGGTTTGTGTAAGCCCTACTTATAAGTTGCTGAATTCAGTATTATAACGAGCTGTGAGGTGTTACAACACAGGTTAGCTGGTCACAGAGCATACAAAAAGTGTGACTATTTGAGTTCTTCTTTTCTCCAAGCTGCACTGCTACACCTGTGAAATCCCACTTTAACCCCAGCTTGTAACCTTTAGACATTTCTACTCCTTTTTTCTTTTAAGTTAACTTTTCAGATTAGATTAGGCACAAACATTACTCAAAGAAGAAGCTGGAGCTCATGTCAGCTTCTCCTCAGTTTCTGAGGGTTGGTTCCAACCATCTAATGTGATTTGTTGCCTGAAAAAGGGAAGAAAACAAAAACATAAATGGCAAAGATATGTTGACTTGACTACAAACGTATTTGAATCCAGGAGATGCCTCCCTTGAGAGTGCAGTTTACTTGAATAAGGAAGTAATTTCAAGGAAACAGGGCTCATTGTGAGGTGAAGGAAAAATTCAATATGACGGCAATTCAGGGTTTGTTCTGATGAGCTACATTAGTTTAAAGTCAGTATTCTGGTCTCATGGGTTTCACAGAATGTTATTAGTCTACAAAAAAACCTATATCAGATTTTAATCACAGCTTTTAAAGTCTCCAGTGTCACATAATTTGCTCCTGACCCATTAGCAATATGGTGTATGAGAATGACTGAATCAGTGATAAGAAGAAAGAGGCACTTTCTAGCTACACTAGTTGTTTACCATCTAAAATAATAGAATAAAACAAGATAATGGTGAGCATCAAATCAAAAATGACCTCACGTGAAGATTTTAAATGTGGATGCATTCTAGTATAGTATAAAGAAAACAATACAGTGCAGCTCCTCTGTACACTACATAATAGTGTTTTTAGGCAAAAGCAAAGTGTAGTGTTTTGATGTCTATTTTATTTCATTGCTGTAAAAGTAATATATTTGGCAGTCACAACAGCAACATAGAGCAGCAGCCTCAAAGCAAGGTTATTCAGCTCCCAATCTGTTGGGCTGAGAGAAAGGGAACGCAAAAGATAAATTCTCCATAAGGTTTAGCAGCCCCAAGCAAGGTTGGTCCCCCTCCAATATCCTAGCCTAGGCTCATCTCCAATTCAAAACACACATAAATATCGTCGCTGTGATTAGCAATCCCATCAAAGTAAAAACAGGCCACTTTGTGGAACATGGAGGGTTTTCGCAATTGAAGTAAACATTTTCAATTGCCTCGGCATCCTAGTCATGATTGGGTGCAAATGAGGAAAGGCAGTCATTAATTCTGGGTGGTGGGTGGGGATGAAGGGGGGAGTGGGCAGAGGCATGGCACAGATGACTGGCTGATAAATTCACACTCATTCCAGCAGCTGTCTGGGAGAGTAAAGTGCCTGTATCTCTACACATGGCTGCCCTCCTGTTCCTGCATCACAACATACTGAATGAAACAGTCAGAGGGAAATACAGACCTTCAAAAGTCTGTGTGCTCTCCAAGGGGATGTACAATCTGGCATGAAGTGTCTGGCGCGGAGTCTCGGTTCATCAGCCGTACTCAAAATGCAAAACGGCACAAACCTGACCAATTTTTACAAAAGTTGACGAAATCAGGAAATATTAGGGGGTCGGCTCTTCCATCAGAAGTTCGGAGACAGGCACCTTTTGAATGGAGCTCGCGCTTTCTTTGAACTTTTCTCTCTTGTTTTCACATCAAAAGACATGAAAGGGGCAGCAAAAAGCAGGATAGCCAGCCCCCAATTCCTCTCCCTTGAGTCACCGCTGTCTGCAGCAGTCATGTCCTTTCAAGGAACAACCAGGACTATAGACAGTCATTAACAATAAAAGTTTCTCCCTCTCTTTCTCTGATGCTGCCTTTTTGCACTTTATCCCTCTCAGTCATTAAATCCTGATCCTCATGATGAAATGCTGTTTTAAGGATGTTCACAAGAAAGAAGGCCTGTGTCTCAGGGTGTAATTAGCGCTGTGCCATTTCTCCTAGACCTGCATGGAAAAGCTTCAAAAAAATAATTCGTACCCCCTAATTTGACCATCTTTTTTTTTCTAACTAAATATAAGCTCTCTTAGAAGCTAAGGGTGCCCGTTTGTATAATGATGCTGCAACACAACTAGAAAAAAGGATGTCCTTCCTGAAAAAGCATCTTTTATCAACTAAAATATTACAGTGTTGTTTTTCTTACAGAAACGAAAGACTCCAGCGGGTTTATAAATCACACTCATCAGCGGTAGCAGCTCTTTAGAGATGAGTTTTAAGTGAATAAAACTGCAAAGATATGAGAAATCCCTTTGAATGATTCTCACTAGGTCTGCACGCTCACTGTGTTCACTGTTTCTTTTTGTATTGGTCCATGAAAGGTTAAACACCATATACTACACTCACAAGCTACTTCACTAGGTACACCTGTTCAACTGCTCTTTAATGACACCACATAGCCATCCAATCACATGGAAGGAACTCGATACATTTAGGCAATTCAAGGGACTTTGAATGTGGTATAATCGTTGGTGCCAGATATGCTGGCCTGAGTATTTTAACCTCCTAGGACCGGCGTCCACATCACATTTTGGGTTGTCTAGACCACAATACTAAATTTTGCTCTTTCAAATGGCTTTCAAATGAGCCATATTGTTCAAAGGGGCACAATTGTTGTTTCTCATTTTGTTTTTGTACTCAGGCAAAATGCTGCTGTGTTCAGACACCAAATAAAGAGTTTTGCACATCATTACTCGATTGTAACTTTATAGTGTCCTATCAAACACTATAAAGCCAAATACCAAAGAGAAATTAAAAATGTATGCCGTGAAAGAGTTCGGGTCTTAGGAGGTTAAAAACCACAATGTCACAGAGATTTCTAGGGTTTACATGTCTATGCAGAGACACTCATGTCTATGCAGAGACACTCAGCACTGATCACTGACTGAACATTGAACCTTGAACGAGATGGGCTGCAGCAGCAGAAGACCAGACTCCTATCAGTTTGTATGCATTCACCAAAATTAAAGAACACTGCTTGGTCTGATGAGTCTTTGTTTTTACTGTGACATTATGATGGTAGGGTCAGAAATTGAAATGGGCCCATCATGTCTTGGATCAACAGTTCTGGCTGCTGGTGTTGGTTTAATGATGTCAGGGATATTTTCTGGGTACACTTTGGTCCACCATCAATTGATTACCATTTTAATGGAACAGCCTAACTGATTATTTTTGCTGTCCAGCCAACAAATCTGCAACAACTGTGTAACAGACGATGACGATATTCACCAAAATCTCTGAGAATTGTTCCAGCACCTTGTTCAAACGATGCTATTAAAGCAGTTCTGGAGGCAAAAGCTGGGCCAACCCAGTACTAGTACTAGTAATAAGTTAACTAGTAATTCGGTTAAGTTTAGGCACTAATATGATAATATCATGATTCATTCCATATTAACTCTTTTTGAGTGTTTACTTGCAACACTTATCCTCTGATAAAGGAGCAGCTTGGGAAAATAACCTTAGTGGATATTCTGTCGTGACAGGTCTTTTTTTTTTCATAGCCTCACCCCTCAAACTAGGTAATTACAGCTCTTAGCCTGGGAAGTAGCACTGATTTAGTTTATTACAGGATGGAAATTATGTGAAAATACTGCCGTTTACAGCTCGGAAAGAGAGAAAAACACATTGTTAAATTCATTCCTCACACTTTTACTGCTGAGATTCTACTTTTGGAGAGGCTACAGAATGGGAGGAGATTAGCAAAACTTCCATAGTTAGGAGCAGGAATGTGTCAAAACTACAGACAAATTGAAGAGGAAACCAAGTGGCTTGAAAAGAAATCGAAATCAGCCATTACATGTGGTGAAATGTTGATTTGAGAATTACAAATAAAAACAGAGGATCAGAGCTGTGAGCCGACGGCTATCTCCTCCTTCCTGAAAAGAAACGTTATGAACATAACCAGCCATTCATGTAAATATGCACAGATGAACAAACCGCAATGGACAGCCAATCAACAGACACAGACAGAAGCAAGCACTTCCAAATGAACAGCAGGTAGCAAAAAGAAAGATTACCTGTCAGGGTTTCAGCAGCTCCTGTTGCAGCACAGGTGAGAAGGAGAGCAGAAGAGAAAAGAGGAGAAAAAAAACAGACAAGTTGTGAGCAGACAGGATGTAAGCAGGGAGCTATATTCCACTGGTAACAAAAAGCATATTCATAATTTTTAAATAGGCTTGTTGAAATTCATTAAATTCAAGCTCCATATGCTATTTGTGTAATTTTCCACCAATTAAGACAAATACAAAAGCCGTCATAATGAGTCATTTTTACAACACAGGTGTGTGCGATTCCGACGTAATGAGCCATTTTCCTGCCTTCATCTATTTTCCGATGTTACATCAATATAGAGGTACAGAGGGAATATTTGGACTTTGTTTTCTACCCCTTGTGTCCCTGATTGAGATTCCAGCCAGCCCCACTGTGGAGCAGCCACTGCCTGGAGACGCTCCCCTGGGACCCGCCGTGTATCCTGGAGAAGAGAGCACCCATTCGGAACGGTGCCCACCCAAACTGGCATCTCACAGGGCATGGGAGACTGGCGCGTTCCCAAGTCCCTGCAGCATTGCTCAGGGCCTGTACCCTCGGGAGAGCTTCCATCATTCATTGTCTGCTATTCATAAACAACTCTGACACACACACATGCACACACACACAAATCTCTTGCCCCCTTGCTGCACATCTACATTTTTATATTTCGCACCATCTTTTATTATATTGACATTTCACACAGACTTTGGTGCTTCTTTACTCTGGCTGTGAGCAATGGGAGCTTCAGTGCCAAGCGTGCTGTACAGTATGGTGAAGTGACTGCCTGTCTAACTTGTCATTGCTGGCTTAATAAGGGTGTAAGGTATGACACATGTCCTTGTTATGGCTCCTTTGTGCATTTTCGACGTGTCAGCAAGTCCCTCGGGACACAAAAATGTGAGTGACAAATCACACATGATGGGAAACAAATTTTGAACGTTGTCCAGGAGCCCGCAACGATATCTCACTAACTTAAAGCTTTGCTTCATCTAAAACACAGCGTGTCAGCCAAAACTTGCTTATATGTGATAATTCACCAGAATGAGGCTTCTGGGCAGTTGATGTAAAAAAAAAAAAAAAAAAGAACTCACGAATAATAGACGTTGATAGACTTGAGCTTGAATGAGCACGCTGCATGTATCCCAGTCCAACCAGCCCTCAGGACAGTCCATAATGAGGCTTTTGAGCTGCTTTAATTGCCAGGTAATTATAATGTTGTAGCAACATTATGTAAATGACTCATTATCATCTTGTATGTGTACCATATCTGCCCTCGTTTTGCTGCAATACTTTGTCAGGACTATAACCCAGAAAAATGCGTCGGCCTGATAGCGGGGCATCTCGGTGTTTAATCTTGTCAACAGAGACCTATATCTAAACACAGAGACTTGTGATATAGTGTAGTGACACCTTCCCTAACCCTTCAGTATGATCCACTTCCTGCTGGTGGCCTCTGAAGGGGCTATAAATAGTGTTTTGGTGGCGGGGGTGCTGTCGTGCAGCGCTCCCCTTCTCTCCTCTGTACCTGCAGCACATTAGGTAGAAGTTATGAGGTGCCAGCTCGCCTGTGATTAGATGTCATGGCTGTCGCTCTGCTTAGACAGTGCTGATAGACAGATTTCTGGGGAAATGCATGTGATGGCATTCGTGCGAGTGCACCCATTGCACCAATATGTCAATCACACTGGATGAGAGCAGGCAGGCTAACCGTCCTCCAAATAATGTCTGTCCTTGTCGCCTCACCTCTTTTCCTTTTCATCCAAATCTCATCTTCCCGTTCTGCACAATGAGCAACATTATGTTCAGAAACACAAAAGTGGAGCATTTCACACTCTCCACCTACATTGATGCTACATTTCCTGTTGGAAACCGGCTCATTGTGAGCATTTGAAAGGGCAGACTCTTGCACTGCAGTATGTTTTCTATACGAAGTGAGGCTCTAAGTGCACCAGTATTCAGGGGTCTACGTTCAACCCATTGCCACCCCAGTGAATCCATAATAATGCACGCTGTTTTTTAGTCACTGAGGCAAACTAAGATCTCCGGAGAAAAGATGTCTGTGTGGCAAGAGTGGCACATAGCCTCTCTCTCTCTCTTCCTACTGCTTGGTAAAAGCAGTGGGGTAACACTAATGAGGCAACATTTCTTCTCAGTACTAGAGTGATGCCTTTGAATTAATGTTCTTCCTTTCAGGTAAAACATCCCTTGCTTATTTATGCTCATGATCTGCAGCGTGTTGCATGTCAACCTAGTGTGTGATCGCACTGCATAAGAGGACACAACAGAGTGGGATGTTGGAGCTTGGTGTAGTTCCCCATAGAGACACCCACACTGGTTACCTTTGCGACAGTGCATGTGTGTGTGGAGTAATGCTGTCTTACTGTGGGTAGCCCACTGTGTTTTCATTTAATTAGTAGGATCAGAGGTGGGCTTCAAACTTTTTCTCTTCAAGGAAATCGGATGGAGAAGCGGACTCCTGCAGAGTGGACCCAATAAACACAGGCGACTTTTGAGGTCAGAATTTTCACAAAGCAAACTGATGAAAGAAACTCTGCTTTCCTCACAAATAAGATCAAAAACCAGTCTTTAACACTTTACTCTAGTCTTTCTTATCAGTTGTAACTAGTTTGAAATCCCTATTAAACAATTTGTTCAGTTTCCGCAGATATGCCATTTATTTTTTCTGTGAACTGCAGATGAAATGGTTGGAGGCGTCTTCATGACATCTGAGCACGCTCCATACTTTAGCTGAAAGCCTATCTATTCATTTATCAACAGCAAAACAAATTCGCAGACATTCCAGGTTTGTACTGTAGGTAGCCTATTGGCCTAATAGTGTGCATACATATAGCAACTCCAGGGCTGAAAAATGAAGACTCAAATGTCAAGGCAGCAGTTCCTCTGATGGCCACTTGATGCAGGGTTCAAAGGTGAGTCAGGCCCCGAAGACTCATGAGTTAAAATGATAAGTGATCAGGTTTTTTTTTATAGCAGCTTTCAAACCAGTACAAAAAGTGCAGTTTTAATCCCCAAAGCTAATATTTTACATCATGACAATTCACTAGCTGGGCCCATGTTGTCATTTTCTCAATGCAGCTGCCAGGCCTGGCAGATCCTCATGTACTAATAAGAAGTGAATAAGTGAAAGAATTGAAAAAAGGGGAGGGAGGATGGGGCACGAAAGCGGGAACGAACAGCATGTAGAACTGGGTCATCATATATAGATAAGATCCAGAAGGGGCGTGTTTGGAGGCGCAGTCCTGCTTCTGAAATTCAGATAATTTATCTCCAATAGTGTATAACTGTTTTAACAGCCCACCTATTTAAGCTACATTAAGCTATAATGCTATCCATTATTAGCAGCTTGGCATGACAGAGCCACCTCTCTGTCATGCCTGTGGGGTTGGAGTTTTAGTTCAATTATTATGGCCTGCTGTGTCGTTAGCACCAACAAAGCGCTCCTGCTTGTCTTTAACTTTTTATTTGTATATTACTTAGCATAAATTAGCAGATACTGACTGTGGGATGCACCCAAGCAGTATATATGGATACACCTCATTAAACAAGCATTAGCTGCTGTCTCAGCATTTTACCCTCTCATCCAAACTATGATCACTTCTCAAAAATAAAAAATAAAAAAATAAATAAAAATGTTTGCAGCTACATTGTGAAAAGTGGCTAAGCCCATCTGTAGTTACAGTCTGTGGGTGCTCAGACAAAAGTTCAGTGCCAACAGCTCTCAGGTGGGAGACCTTTCTTATCTACCAAAACAAAGGATTTATTTTCCCATTTGGGGTGGAAAGTGAGTCATCCCTTTGGTATAAATCAACCTTGCAAATTATGAAATACTTCTTTGAGTTATGGGTTGTTGCAAAACACAAAGACTAAAAAGTCTACTGAGCCTAAGGAAATAATATTAGGCTTACTCACTGCTTAATGTGTCATGAAAATAGCCATTAACTCATTCACTGCCAGCTATTTTCAAATCAGGTAACTCCCCACTGCTCATTCACTGCCATTGACGTCTATAGACGTCAATGGCAGTGAATGAGTTAATTGACTCCTAAAAACCTTTAAAAAAAAAAGCAAACAGACCTGAGTTGGGATTACATAACATTTAGTCAAGCAGATGACTTAAAAGTTGACGTGGTTGAAATCATAACAGCTACCGAGCAGCTTAATCTCTACGACAATGGAGCCAACGTCATCCGCCAATTAAGACTGAATAATATGGCCTAAATCTCTACAAAAAGCTTCTGAGTGGACCTCTCAAGATTGTGTGCTCTTGTTATACTAAAAAAAAAGAGCTATTTTCTACTCTGTAAAATGGCAGAACTAATTAAGTTGCATTTCATTTATGTACTTGACCCACTTCTTTTATTATCACCTCTCCGGTACTACTTAATCCAGCCCAAACAGTCGGTGAAATATCAGAAAATGCTCACCTGTAAACAGGGCCAGGAATATTCAGATTAAATTTCCCCTGAGTCAATTGAGACATTATAATCAGGTAGGCTTACAGGAGATGCAAAGCATGTTTCTGCTTGATAAACCGCAACAAAAAGGAGATTTTGCAAATATCCCCACAGAAGTGGGTAATTGCTCTGTGTTAATGGGATATGCTTTGTAAAGGTCCAATCTATTGCTTGATTGTGTGAGCAGCGCCAGCAAGACACATGTAGCTGACGCGAGTCTCTGCGTTGGGAGATTAAAGGGTAATCCTTCAGAAATGCTGTCAGATAAAAAAAGAAAAAAGTAGCTATATTGAATTCGGTGCCCTGTCCCCCCTCAGTGAAGTGCTATGGGCATCTGCAATTGCACAGAAATTCCCAGAGATGCGTGTTCTTGTGAATGCAATTTTCAAATTAAGACATGTCAGTGTTAGAAACGCCTTTGAAAGCATAAAAGGTGAATAATATCATCGGTGTACCTGACTGGGTGCTGTCATTCACAATACACATGAAAATGTCTCTGCGGCTGACAGAAAAAAAGAGAAAAAAAATTGCAA